ACTCCCCAAGCACCTCTTGGGAATTTGAATAAAACTTTCTGACTCTTTCCTCGGATCAGAGCCCAACCATTACTCTACTCCCCAAGCACCTCTTGGGAATTTGAATAAAACTTTCTGACTCTTTCCTCGGATCAGAGCCCAATCGCTACTCCACTCCCCAAGCACCTCTTGGAAATTTGAATAAAACTTTCTGACTCTTTCCTCAGATCAGAGCCCAACCGCTACACCGCTCTCCAAGCACCTCTTGGGAATTTGAATAAAACTTTCTGACTCTTTCCTCGGATCAGAGCCCAACCGCTACTCCACTCCCCAAGCACCTCTTGGGAATTTGAATAAAACTTTCTGACTCTTTCCTCGGATCAGAGCCCAACCATTACTCTACTCCCCAAGCACCTCTTGGGAATTTGAATAANACTTTCTGACTCTTTCCTCGGATCAGAGCCCAATCGCTACTCCACTCCCCAAGCACCTCTTGGAAATTTGAATAAAACTTTCTGACTCTTTCCTCAGATCAGAGCCCAACCGCTACACCGCTCTCCAAGCACCTCTTGGGAATTTGAATAAAACTTTCTGACTCTTTCCTCGGATCAATTCCCAACCGCTACACCGCTCTTTTTACGAGTGCAAGAGAAAACTCAATCCTTTCCACGGCTCAGGATCAAACCGGTACACGGATCTTTTTACGAGTTCAAGAGCAAACTCAATCCTTTCCACGACTCAGGATCAAACCAGTACAATTGTCTGAAATCTTATAGAAACACATCACAACACTCAAAGTAATAGACATCTATCTCAAGAATAGGATAAAAAAAAAGAAATAGAATTGGAAGCTTTGAAGAGAGCAACAATTGGATGCTTTGAAGAGAGCAACACTGGGAAGCCTGGAAGAGAACAACAATGGAGGCTTTTAAAAAAAAATTTAGATTGAGGAAACAAATGTTATGTGTTGTGATGTTAAAAATATGAAGACGTGGACAAAAATATGACCACAAAAAATAATATTTATTTATTTTTAAATTTATAGTAAAAAATTGTAGGTCACAGCTTTCATTTAAATAATATACATTTATATTATTTTAAATAAATATTAAAAACATTTTAAATTCATTTTTATTTTATATATATATATAACCTATTAAAATATAATAATATAATAAAAAAAATGTTAATAAACAATGTGGTAACATTTTAAAAGTAATTGAAAAGTTATATAAATCTAATCGAATGATTTTGTAATTTAAATTATTTTGTTGTGAAAGCTAGTTTATGACCATAAATGTAAATGAAATCATTATAATTTCTAATCGAAAACTTTTATAAATGTAATTGAAATGATTTTATAATTCAAATACTCCTTAATGTAATTAAAAACTCCACAATTTGTTAATCTACTAAATTTATAAATGTCATTCTTCAATTGGTTTATAATATCAATTTTGTCAACACATCATCAATCTTGTCAACACATCATCAATCTTGCAACACATCATCAATTTTGTAACACATCACGTCACGTATCTTTTTTTGAATTTAATTGATTCATGATGTCAATTTTGCCACCACATCATCACGTCGGGTATTTGTTTTGACTGAAACTTCTTGTTTTATCTCTAATTTGAGTGAACAAAAAAAGACGTTGAAATCGTTATTCTCAACCTTACACTGTGGACAAAAATATGAGAATTGTTAATAGAGGGTAGGTTTATTATCATCAAAACATCAATTAATTAATTAATTAATTTAATTTGAGATTAAGGCAAAAAAGCCAACACTGGGGTCTAGACTGCCTCGGCCACGTCATTACACTGCCAGAAGGTGTTCTTGTGGAAGACAACGTCACATGACACGTGAGTTCGTTCCCCGACAGGATCATATAGCTTGTATGCCTTGCTCTTGGGTTTGTAGCCAATGAAGACGACCTTCAGCCCCTTAGGATTGAGCTTGGCGAGATGGGACGCATTATCTTCATGTATGCGATGCAGCCGAACACTTAGAGATGATGTACTGTGGGCTTCTTGTTGTACCAAACCTCGTGCAACGTCTTCCCGTCGAGGCTTCGCATTGGCGACCGGTTGAGGAGGTAGATGACCATCATGATCGACTTTCTGCATAGATCATCGTACGAGCTCCAATGATTCACCGACGCTGTATGATGCCTGAGACGGAAAAGGAGTGTACTTCTACTCTGTTTGCCAAATGTTGAAAATGGCCCACAATCAAAATATGTCGAAACAAATAACTGGAGTGGGAAGAAAAACTTGAGAGGAGAGAACTTTTGGAATAAAGAACCTTAAGCACTTATACTTTTCAAGTATCTTTGTTATTGTGAATAGAACATACATCTTTGTTGTTGTGAATAGAACGTACATCTTTGTTGTTGTGAATAGAACATACATTAGGAGAGAGGACACCAACAAATTTCCTAAACTTTCTCTTTAAATTAAAACTTCACCAAACTCTTAAATAAATTCTTAACTATTCCTAAATTTATTCAATTAATAAATGTTTTTACCAAGTCAGACTTAATGACTTACATAGCGACAAGTTGAGATCTCCTGATTGTTGGCAACTACCTCTTTCTTTGAGCTTGTTTCATAACTCAATTAGAAATTTTATGGCTCACAATTGTTGCGACATGTAGGAATTCTCACTGCTACGAAGGAGGTAAATCAAACAAAATGGCAATGGATGGTGCTCGATCACCCAAGGAAAGTGAATCGAGGACGGAAGAAAATCAAACCCATGCAAATGACCCAGACATGCAAATATAGGGAGCTATACCAATGCAAACACATATAATCATGCTCTTGGAACTTATCTTTATCTCATCTAGGGTTGGCCTCCAGTTTCAGACTACTATGGATGTGTAGTACTTCCATACACATGACCCACACATGCGAGTGTGAATCTCCAGGGGGCTCGCACACCTCCTAGACCCTCTTTTGTCAAGCTACTCGGTAGCGATGTCCGGAGGTCAATGGAACCCCTGGTGTCATGCTCCCCATGAGGTCTCTCTAATTTTCATCTTATCATCTTTTCTGACACAACCTTCTAGTTTCATCTCTTTGTTACATTAAGTAACACATGTTCGTTCGATATTTATATTAATATAATTTTCATGCTCTTAAGGTTGTGTCTTGTGTTGGCCTATCAACTTGATGTAATATGATACTCATCATCATATAACATGCTTAATATGAAAAACATCTAACATATTAAGACGAACGTCATACAATCATCATACTCATCATATCGTCATAAAGTGCATCAAGCATATCAAGTACGTCAGACGTCGAAATATATATATTACTCACATCATCATGCATCATAACTCATACATCATCATAACTCATGCATCATATACTCATACATCATCATATACTAGTATACAACACCATACGATACAATTCATACATCATCATATACTAGTATACGACATCATACAATACAACTCATATATCATCATATACTAGTATACGACATCATGCAATACAACTCATATATCATCATAACTCATACATCATAAATTATAACTCATACAATTTCTAGTTTATCCTATGGTAAGACCACTTATTTGGTTGGCTTTGGCCGAACTACTCTTTAATTTAATTTAATTAACTTAAGCTCCCATTCCTCGTGAGGTGCTCCAAAGGTTGTCAGGGTTCACTTTCTATCGCATATTTGTCACCTTTAAAAGTATTTTATATTTTAAATTAATAATCCAATTAACAATGTTAAATACAGCTTTAAAACCGCCTCAATTACCTTAATCGAAACGGCCTCAATTAACAATTACTTAATCCGGACCGAAAACAGGCTTGGGAGGGTGGAAAAAGTGGAAACCCGATCAAAAATTGAAAACTGAGCCGAATTTTCGCCGCCAGCCGCTGCGCTGTTGAAGCCGCTAAAGCCGAAGGGCTGCTTGCGTCGTAGCTTGACACGTGACGGCACCTGAGCGGGCCACAACAATGCAGGCATCTCGGGTCGAGGCGCGTGTTGCAGGCCAATTTAGGTCGCGGTTCGGGTTGGCTCGCGATTCGTTGG